GTAGCACTCATATATATTTTATAGCCCCTCGGGACCAGCCTCTTAGTCACTCGAGACTCAACTCTCATCAATCAATGCACTCACTCAGCACTCACGCTAAATAGGTACCTTATAATAATCACTGCAGCGTGCAGCTCGATCAATAAATATATAGTCAACTGCGCTCATTGGGGGTGTGCAGACTCCGGAGGGGCTCCTACAGACCAAGCGTTATATCGCTGCGGCGTGCTGCCCGATCCAACATATCGTTGCGGCGTGCAGCCCGATCCATATATCGTTGCGGCGTGCAGCCCGATCCAGGCCCTCGACCTCTCTCAGCCACAAACCTCACAATCAGGCCCTTGACCTCTCTCAGTCATCAACCTCACAATCAAGCCCTCGGCCTCTCTCAGTCATCAACCTCACAAGCTACTCGGGCTATCAGTAAAACAGGATGCTCAACCCAAAATATCATTTTTATGCATCAAAGGTATAATAAATACTGAGTTATGAAATCAATAAAAACATAACATGACTGAGTACAGATCTTAAGTCAAAATAGTGAGTAAATAATAAGGAAAAGCCCCTAAGGGTCGAAACAACTTGGCATGAGGCCCAAATATGGTATTCCGCCCAAAACATAATAATATTTTCCAAAACACAAGTGCATCAAATAGTTTTCAGTCAAATACGCAACTTAAGAGTCGCTACGGGACGGACCAAGTCACAATCCCCAATGGTGCACACCCCCACGCTCGTCTAGCGTGTGCATCACCTCAATATAGTGAAACAAAGTGAAATTCGGGGTTTCATACCCTCAGGACAAGATTTACAATCATTACTTACCTCAAACCGGTCTAAACTCTAACCCGTGATGCCTTTGCCTCACGACTCGGCCTCCAAATACTCCGAATCTAAGAAAAGGCAGTATATCATCATGAATATACGCTAAAGGAACAAATCCCAAGCGAAAATAATTACATTAACTGAAAAATCCCGAAATTTTCTCAAACTCGGCCCCCGGGCCCACATCTTGGAGTCCGATAAAAATCATAAAACTGGAAAACTCATTCGCTCACGAGTCTACCCATATCAAATTCACCAAAATCCGACATCAAATGGCCATCCAAATCCCCAAAATCAACTCTCCAAAATTTTCACCCCAAATTCCCAAATTAAATGATAAGAATCAAGACATAATCATGGAATTTAACCAAATTTGAGTGAAGAACACTTTCCCCAATCATTCTTCTGAAATTCCCCTCCAAATTCGCCTTCTCCCGAGCTCTCTAATGAAATTTGATATTATGGACCAAGACCCTCGTTTTTGAACTTAAACATTCTGCCCAGACATTTCCTTAATCATGATCGCAGAAACACCCTCGTGATCGCGAAGAACAACCTTGCTACCTCAACATTTTACTCTACGCGACCGCGTTACTCCACACGCGAACGCGATGCAATGGTCCCCCTGGCTTATGCGATCGTGATTGACACCACGCGAACGCGAAGGGTAACGCTAGGTTTCCTGTACCGCCTTATTTCTTCTACGCGAACGCGGCCTTGCCCACACGTTCGCGTTGCACAACCTGACTGACCTACGTGATCGCGTCCCATTCTCTGCGATCGTGAAGAGTTAACCCAGATGGCCTCCCATTTGCCCTACGCGATCGCGAACCTCCTCCCGCGATCGCGATGAAGTACACACCAGCTGCAGAACACCAGCAAACCAGCAAAATCCTTAAGTCCAAAAATGACCCGGTGAGCATCCGAAACACACCCAAGGCCTTCTGGACCTCAACCGAACATGCAAACACGTCCCATAACATTATTCAAACTTAGTCAAACCTTCGAATCACTCAAAACAACATCAAAACACCAAATTAACCTCAGATTCAAGCTTAAGAACATCTAAATTTTCAGAATTCCACAAACAACGCCAAAATCTATCAAACCTCGTCCGAATGACTTGAAATTTTGTACACATTTCACAAATGACAGTACGAACCTACTCCAACTTCCGAAATTCCATTTCGACACCGATATCAAGATTTTCACTGCCGACCCAAAACTCTAAATTTTTCAGTTTCGCCAATTCAAGCCTAAATCTACCACAGACCTTCAAATCACATTCCGGACGCGCTCCCAAGTCCAACATCACCTAACGGAGCTAACCAAATTATAAAAATTCAAATCCGAGATCGAATACTAAAAAGTCAAAACTTGATCAAACCTTTCAAATTTAAAGCTTCCAGGTGAGAACCATTCTTCTATATCTATTCCGATTAACCTGCAATCCACAACCGACGATTTACATAAGTCATAATACATCATACAGGGCTATTCATGCCCAAGAATTGACGAGCGAAATGCAAATATTCAAAACGACCGGTCGGATCGTTACAGAACTTCTAATATATCTGGTGGTTATTGAACACATTACGGCGGTTTTAAGCTGTGGCGGCTTCGGAGACCACCAGTGTAGGTAATTGTGGTGGTTTGGACCGCCGCTGTACGCATAATTAACCGCCGCCGCAACAACCCGTTTAATTTGTTTGTAGTGAGATCTTTCAAGTTTTCTTTCCCTTATCATGAAGTTATTTACATTCCGTTTTTCTTATCATCTTTACCTCATCTTCATCCTTCTTGAGATTAGAGTTTGCAATTTTGTAGGATAAATCTCATCAACGCCATCTCTCCTCCGATCCCTCAAGAGAAAGAAGAAGAAAAGGATATGACAATGAATATGCCGGCAAAGTTTTTGGTATTTATTCTGCATTTTGGGATTCTGTTCTCCTTTGTGTTGCTAGTCAATTTTCCGGCTTCACATCTATATGCACTTTTGGTTCTTAAGACTGCTGAAATGGACGAGAAGAAAGCTCCAGTTATCAGTATGAGAAACAACCATCTTTCGTCATTGGGAATTGAATGTTTGATTTCTTGCTATAGGTCTTCCCATACTGTTGGCATCAATTCGTTCTTACTAAAAGAAAAAGGCAGCCAATCAAAAAGTAACAACAGTAGTTCACCTGATATGATTGAAGATGTTAAGACAAAATGTTTACAATATTTCAGCTAAGTAATATAATATGTAAAAAGAAAAACCAAAATACTAATAATAGAAGCTCTAGGAAAATAAAAAGGAGAGTCAGTCTAGTGGGCTTTCTTCTTTTTTGTTCCACTGCTGCTAGGAGTATCATAAGGAAACTTATAAACCTAAACAGGATAACACATTCTACAAATCAAATCTCGTCTGATTCTCCCATACCCGTAAACACCCCATTCATCACCATGTGAGTTTTTAATTAGGAAATATTTTGTCCCATTCTTAACTCCATATCCAATTACTAGTATTGAATGTGCTGCATTTTGGTCTATATCACCTGCAGTGGGTCCCATATATACATCCTAAAAACAAATTTGAAATAAAGAATTAAAGATATAATACAAGCTAAGGAAATTTGTGGAGAGGTTAATAATGGTTATATTTACAATAATAAAAATTCTTTCACAATCAAATGTAAGAATACATAATATAGATACCTTTCCCTTGAAGTCCAGAAAACTCTTATTCTAATTGCACCAAGCCACCAACCATAGGTTGTTTCTTCAGTGTTTCATTAATAGCTTCTTCCGTAACAACTCTCTCATTCCGGCTTTGTAAGCGCCTAGGAATATCCTCGGTACGCACACGATTGAAGTATGTAATTCTGTATCTCACCTTCTAACATGCATTAGCCAAAAATTAAAATGAAAAGGAAACAAAGTAAGTTTCATATTTTAAAAAGATGATTTTGATGCTAAAATATTTTTAAGAAAAAGAGAAATATACATCATGTGGGACGGGAGGGATATCGTTATCAATTCTACTTCCTCTTTTGGGATAGTCAAGCTCTGTGCACAAACCAAAGTACGTTGCATATTCAAGAGCATGAATATTGTATAGGTCCAAATTTGGTAACAACGGTAATGGATAAGCAAGACGAAGGATGGGGTCGACTACGATATAACGACTGAAAGTCGTCCTTATAAAGGTCGACGCCAGAAGCGGGCAGCTGAGACAGGACAGTAACGGTAACTTAGGTTCAGAAATGGACATAAAGAATATTCCTTTGGATATTCTCTATGCTGTACTTTTTAGGGTTTTTGAAGAATGTCCCTTGTAAATAGGAAGAGATAAAGAACAAAAAGGATCGGCCTTTTACTGAAAATCCATAACCCCAATTGCTAGGGGAATGCCGTTTAGTTGGCCTATGCCTGTTTGAACAGCCTCGGTTAATCCTGTCTTTCTTTGATAAGAATCAATACGATCTTTATAAGGCTCCTCCTCCGAATGAAATTCAATGGGATCCAGAGAGACCATGTCTCTAGAACATATTGTAAAAGTTGAGAGAAGAATATACGTCGCTGTCAGAGAAAGGAAACACCCAATCATACAATCATTGGGTGATAATTCCTTTATAGTACAACCCTTGTCATTTCTTACATTTATTATATATTCTATAACATTTTAGGCCTTTAACCACATCTGAAAAATGTTGTCTAAATTACCAAAAAGTGTTTTTTTTGCTCAAAGGCCACACTTTTCGACCTAAAGCAACGCTTTTCGTGGGGTGGCCTAAATGAGCGTAACCTTTAACATAAGGCAATGCTTTACCAATGTTGCTTTAGGAGTCACGCTTGAAAAGTGTAGCCTAAGAGTAACAAAGGCCACGCTTGTTACTCCCTCTATGATAACAGTTTTCGTGTACTACAACAACACTTTAAAAGCGTAGCCGTTGTTATTCCTTAGGCAACAATTGTAAAGTATAGCTTTTGCTATGCTGCTATATTGTCCACAAATTTGCTAATTCCTACAGTCACACTTTTGAAGCATGACACTTTTGTCTAAGCTATAAAGCATATTTTATTATTGTACAAGCCATGCTTTTGTGGTCAAGAAATTAATTTTTGTATATATCCTATAATCACATTTAAGTAGGGATCTCAAGTACTCAATTACATAGAAGATAATAAAAGAATATTTCAAATGCACGTACTTGCAATGAACTTCAAAATGGGAATAAATCTCATGTAGTACATCAACAAAAGATGCTAATATTTCAAGGTGCATACAAGAAATAAACTTTACAAAACCAAATGTATCACTATAGTATCAGGAATAAAAAAAATCATAATTGTCCAAAGTCTTCATCAAATTATCTTTTGGCCACCATTTCCAATTGCTCACCAGAATTTCCTACGGAATCAAAATAAAATTAATAATTAGATAGAATTCAATAGTATGTAAGCGCAAACTCAAAGAAATGTGGCAGAGTTTGCCCCTAGGAAATTTAAGTACCAAGCACTATTCAAAGAATAGATATCTGCTATAAATATAAGGCTTAAGCATTATTCCTCTTTTTTCCCGTATCATAAACTGAATTTGTTTCTTTAGTTCAGGCAAATTCTCCATTCATTTATGATCTTAAAAGTCATGTGAAGACCAAAATGAATGAGTATGCAGTTCTAGCTTCTGTTGAGGTAAGCTGATAAAGTTATAAATTAATTTCTTACACATAAATGGCTCAGCAACTTCTGTTATCTCTTAGTTTAATATGTCTAATATTCATGCATTTTGGACAAGCAAGCATAAACGGTAGAAAATACACATAATTACATAGACAAAAATTCCATTCCAATTGATAAAAGTTAAGTAAATTGGAACTTGTTCACATTTTAGGTATAGAATGTTACTTCTCTTTAAGTCCCCACCTTAAACTGTTTTATCGTGCACTTTCATTTAAGAAGAATCTAAACCACAAATTACCTAGTTTAATCGCACAATGGTAATGACTCCAATCATTATCAAAAATCTCATACACTACATTATGAATATGGTAATCACAAGGAAGGAGCATAATTCCATGCAGTATGAAACATAAAATATCATAATGAAGTTGAACAGATGTTATGATGGAGCACTGATTTTTAAGAAAATAACTATTGAGTAAAATTTCAATTTCAGGTTCAACCGTATTATATATTTCATAATTCTACTGGTAGAAGCAAAAAAGATATTGCTTTATGATATGCTTTAGACAATCGTATGACTGGATAGAAGCATATATTGCTTACCTAACGTAGTGCATTTCTCTGCTTTGTGCTCTCAGTTAAATTTTACCAATATCCATTTCTTTTTTATGCGGATGTAGAACCAACAACCTAAAGTTAAATACAGAATAAAGTAAAAAAATATTATTGACCATACATCAAAGAACCAAGATGTCAATTGGGCAAAAATAATTTAACAAAGAATAGTCTAAAACTTAGGACAATCATTACGTTCATAATAATTAAACAAATTGTCTTCCACTAAAAGCTTGTAGGGGAAGAGTTTAGCTTGTTCAAAATTATGACACAAATATTTTTAACTGAAGCATGCACTCCCAAATATGCAATAGCGACTAGCGTCATGTCAATTTTCTCAAGAATTCTGCCATTACTAGAGAACATCCGACTGCGCCTAGCAATCTTAAAAAAAACTCATGGGATCATATATTAGCAATGTCAGGAAGATGTAATTAAATAGCTGAAGTATTACAAAGAAATTGAAATAACCGAGATGAAAGATTATACCTGAAAATGAAAGTTCTGTTCCCCTTATCAAAGATATTTGCTTCATAAACCAAGCAAGAAAATGGAAACAATAATATTCTTTTCAACAGTTTATTACAACCAACCAAGCAATAATATTCTTCATAAACCAAGCAAGAAAATGGAAACAATAATATTCTTTTCAACAGTTTATTACAAGTATACAACCAACAGTTTATTACAACCAACCAAGCAATAATATTCTTCATAAACCAAGCAAAAATTGCTTCATAACTCAAAGTATGATCATAAACTCCATCGTCATGGTATTGTAGAAGCAATCTGGAAAATTACACTAATACTGAAGCAAATTAAATACACTCCACAAATTTTTGGAGCCACTATCACATAAGAAGCAAAGAAAAAAGCATGTTCCTGTTGAAATAATAACGAACTATACTACTCAATTTAGAGTTGAGGCTTTCATTACACATTTAGATTATTACTACTCAATACACAGTTAGTTCCTAAAGTAGCTTATATATATTGTGGAACAAATGTGCACATCACTAAGTAAAGGATATGCACGCCAAGATTAAAATATGTTCTTAATAGTATTTGCACCCCCACATTCTAATGCATCTAAAGAAAAACTAATTGAATAGAGAGTTGCATGGTAAGAAGGCTCTCTAAATCTTGACTTTTGGTGTGCTCCGTGAGTTTTTTTCATCACAAAAAAACTTATATATAAATAACAATAACAACAAACCAAGCTTAATTCCATACGTGGGGTCTGGGGAGGGTAGTGTGTACGCAGCATTACCCCTACGCTATAAAGGTAGAGAGGTTGTTTCCGATAGATCCTCGTCATCCATCTATTTTATGTATCCTTGTTTTATCCTTCATTAGACTTTGGAGGTCATTCATACCTTTTTCATTAGCAAATTATATCATATTTGCCCTGGACCGTAACGTAATTCCAACCTGAAGTATAGGGTGTTAATTTTAAATTATAGTCAAGTATATGTATAATTTTGGACATTTACCGAAAGTATTTCGAAGCGTACTATCCACACAGTTCAAGATGGAGCCAGTTAAAGTCAAGGGACAGTCTGCTAACGCAGGGTATGAATGCCTCAAAAATAAAAGGGATGGCAAAGATTAAAATTATTTTTGTACAGAAGAGGTATAAATTTGTACCTTTATCCTACTTAAAATAAATACATTTAAAATGCACCATCTCGATCAATTTAAGCTTTTCAGTTGAGTCGATTCATACATAACAACATGATATTAGAGCAAACAAGAATTAGTACGTGAATTTGGACATGTTAGAATGAGTGAATAAAATGCCAAATATTTGAATAACTCTTTATATATAAATAACTCAAACAATTAGTTTAGGCAGATAATTTAAAATGAAAATAAGAGGGCTTACGATCGAGCGATGAGGGAAAGAAGGGCGTCATCATTGGGAGGGCCATCAAGAGAAGTGAGAAAAGGGAAGAAATAGACAGAGGTCACGACGGCTCCACCATCAGCTTTAGCGATGAGAGATTGAAGGCAAACAACTCCACATTGAGGATCACTGTTGCGTCTACCATCAAAAGGGTCCAAAAATGCTGATATTTCCAAAATAAGATTATCAGAGGATTCTGCACAATCTTTTAACTAAACAAATCGCAAAGCTATCAACTAAATAAGCAAATGAATTTCAAAAAAACTTCGAAGAAGCCATTAAGCAAAAAAAGTAACTGTAGAAATTTCAGACAAGCCAAATCGCAAAGTAATTAAACTGAAACCCAAAATTTCAGAGAAATCTTACACAAGCTTTCGAAAAATGGAGATCAACAATGATTGTAAGCCCAAAACTCAAAATTCTCAATTGCAACTGATAGTCGAAGAACCCAGATGAAAAGAGTGCTTTGACTTTTTAGAAGAGAAACTAGAAGAGATATAGCGCATCCATCAGAGATTTCCATAAAACCCACACTAATTTGCTTCCTAGTTAGAAGAAGAGCCAAATTTTAGAGAAGATGAAGGATGGGATTCTATTGTAGAGTTGGTAAAAGCTGAAAAGAGTGGGATATTTTAGGGCATAATAATTCGGCCAAATTTTAGGGGAAAATCTGAGCGGAAAATTTTAGGGGACTTTAGACCACATTTACATAGAGTTGCTTTTATTAATATAAACAAGCACGCCTAAAAGTGTTAGCATTACATATGAATAAGTGTTGTTAATTATTTTATGATTTGGTATAAGTTGAAAAGCATAGTCTATACCATTAAAAGGAACACTTTTTAAGGATTGCCTAAAATCCGTAGCCAAAAGTGCTAGACAATGGCAGCCCTTTAAAAAATGTTGCCAAAGATACTTTCAGCAACATTTTCCAAGTGTTGTCTATAATTGGTATGGCCTTAGGCCAAATTTGTTGTAGTTACATACTTTGTCAATCATAGCATATTAAATCCACTATTTAATTCTCCTGAACTCTACTCGTTATACAAGAGTTGTGTTATATTTGGTCTAGAATTTATTAAGTTCAATTGGGATTCACCCTATTAACTTATTATTAATTGGTTTAGCATCTATTTTCTCAAATAATTTGGCGCCGTCTATGGGGAGTTTTTAGTTGAAACTATAGTTCTTTCTAGATTAAAAAAAATAGTCATCTTTCCTTCGTTTGCACAAACTAACGATAGCAGAAAAAGGAGATGCAAGACTGAAAGCGATAGCAGGCGTCACTACCAATATTTTGAACACCATCAACAAAGATGGCAGGGAAGACAACGAGAATGTGACACCAAGCGCTACGCCCAGGCGAAGTGCTTCACCTCCCCCTCATGAAAGCGTGACAGCTTCACAAGGAAGGGAAGCCTCGACGTCTTCAGCTGAAGAAGCACCACCAGTAGTGAATAAGTTATTGGAGGAGTGGCTAACAAGCACTCTAAACAATATACTCGATAGACCTGCTCAAAGAGAGGACAAAAACACTGTGCAAGCAGACATCATAACAACCACTGGCGAGCAGCCTATCCCTCAAACAGGTAACACTTACCCCACTATTGATGCAGATAATGAGGCGCTCGCAGCCGTTCTAAAGAAAATGGAAGAAATGGAAAACGAAAACAAGGCGCTTCGCGACCAGATGAAGGAGCATCAATAAAGGGTCGATAAGATATCAGACTCTCCAAAGTTGCTACCAAAATGAGACGTTGGACAGTTCGTCGAACAACCATACAGCGAGGAAGCGACTCCACATGCCATTCCCGAAACCTTCATAATGCCACCGTACCTGAAGGTATACTATGGTACTACAGACCCCGAAGATCACATCATCCACTACATCACATCGGTGAAGGGCAACGACCTTTCGAAGGAGCAAGTACCATCAGTGTTGCTAAAAAAGTTCGGCAAAACCTTAACGGGGGAGCCTTAACCTGGTATTCACAACTGTCGGCGCGGTCAATAGCAACGTTCGAGGAAATGACCGACAAGTTCATCACCTCCTATGTAGGGGCTAAAAAGGTGGAAGCCAGGGTGAATGACATATTCGTCGTTAGGCAATCGCCTGGCAAGGGACTCAGGGACTTCCTCGCCTAGTTTAACAGGGTGAGAATGAGCCTACCAAATGTATCAGAAGGAATGGCGGTAGCCGCTTTCCAGAATGGGTTAAGCAGGAGCAGGTCGAGAGAAACTAGAAAACTATTAAGCAGGCTCATGAAACATCCTCCACTACTTGGGAGGAAATCCACAATGCCTATTGCACCGAGGTGAGAGCCGACGAGGACAACCTTAATGGTTCGACTCAATGGTTGACGTCAGTTCAAGCAGAATCAAGGAAAAATCGTCGTAACGATGGTCGAAGGGATCAGTCGAGCCCCCATCTCAGCCGAGAAAGGCATCAGCCCTACATCAGAACAGTCGTCCCACTGTCTCCTCGACACACGGAAGAGCCGCCCAGGCCGCACACAGGGACTCAGGGAAACGAAAGAGGTATGCCTCCACTCTTATCTGCTCACAATTTTGTGTTTCCCCTTTAGAAATAGTTTACGCACTAGAGAAGCTCGGCACGAAGGTGAAATGGCCACAAAAAATGAAGTCTGTCTCAAGTACTCGGAAGTCGAATGTCCTCTATGAATTTCACCAGGAGCGGGGTCACAAAACCAAGGACTGTATAGGTCTACGGCAAGAGGGAGTGAGAATTCTGAACCAGGGCCACCTGAGGGAACTGATGAGTGATCGTGGACAAGACAACTTTGACCGCGGACGTGAACAACACCAGGGACCTCCAAAGCCACCCTCTCCCGCTTGCACCATCCAAATGATTATTGGTGGAGGTGATGAAGCAACGATCAACCACGTGAAATTCACCACTATGCACAAAATGAAATGGTCGATCACCCAGAAACTGTACGACAACCTCGGAGACTGTATCATCTTCGACAAGTCAAATACTGATGGCTTGACTTTCCCTCATTTCGTTGCTCGTGTTATTACTTTACGTATTTCAGATACTGATGTAATAAGAATAATGGTAGACGATAGAAGCGACGCGTGTATCATACCCTCGAGTCCCACACAAATGAGACTCGAGGACAAGATAGTACCACATTGCATAACACTAACAGGTTTTAACAATGCAGTTGAGCGAACCTCTGGAGAGATAACAGTACCCGTTTTGGCCGGGGGCGTCACCCTAGAAACAATATTCCACATCATGAACCAAGACACAACTTACAACGCTATCATAGGGAGGCCATGGATACACGCCATGAGGGCCATCCCGTCAAGCCTCTACCAAGTAATCAAGTTCCCGACTCCTTGGGGAATATTCAGTATCTAGGCCGAACAACGCACCGCCCAAGAATGCTATCATATCGCCCAGGATTGCACGTATACCTAACAGCTGAAGGGAGCTGACATAGAGGCATATCAATTACCAAAGTCAGGCACCAGACTCGACGTACAAACAAACGTCATCAGGGACCCCGACATCGTGGAAGCTGCTGAGTCAACGGTAGAAGATCTCAATCCTGTCCAACTGAACACCAGTGACAACAGTAAAAGGGCTTACATTAGACATAAGCTCTCAAAACCAGGTAAATTTCACAAGTTTTTAATTGACAACGCCAATCTGTTTGCTTTCTCCCATGCAGATATGCCAGGTATCCCGAAAGACGTGGCCACACACAAGCTGAATGTCGACCCACTCTATCCACCAGTGCGGAAAATAAGAAGGAAATTCAACTCTGCAATCAACGAGGCCGTAAGTGATGAAGTAGATAAACTCCTCGCCAATGGTTCCATCTGGGAATCAAAATACCCCTAGTATGTTGCCAATGTGGTCATGGTGAAAAAGAAAAATGGAAAATGGCGGATGTGCGTAGATTTCACGGACCTGAACAAGGCATGCCCTAAAAACTCCTTCCCATTGCCTCACATCGACCAGCTCATCGACGCAACTGCAGGACACGAATTGCTAAGCTTCTTGGACGCCTACTCGGGTTACAACCAAATCCTCATAGAGGAGGAAGACCAAGAGAAAACTACTTTAATCATCCATCAGGGAACGTACTGCTACAGAGTCATGCCATTCGGGTTTAAAAATACGGGTTGGTCACCAAATGTTCAAAGATCAACTCGGCAAAACAATGGAAGTTTACATCGACGACATGTTGGTCAAATCAAAAAGGAAAGAAGACCACATCGATTACCTGAAAGAAGCCTTCGGTATACTAAGGCGGTACGACATGAAACTAAACCCCTAAAAATGTGCCTTCAACATAATCTCGGGCAAATTTCTCGGTTTCTTGGTATCACAAAGAGGCATCGAAGTCAATCCTGATCAAATCAAAGCCATTGAAGGGATACTCAAGGTGTTAACCAGCAAGAAACAGGTGCAAAAATTGATTGGCCGTATAGCCACTCTGTCAAGATTCATTTCGCGATTATCCGACAGATGCCACATATTCTTCAATGTTCTAAAAAAAGATAATGAGCTCCAGTGGAATTCAGAATGCATCGATGCCTTACGGGAACTAAAGGCGTACTTATCCTCGCCTCCACTACTTGCCAAAGCAGAGCCCAGCGAACGCCTCGTAGTGTATTTGGCCGTTTCGGAAGTTGCAGTAAGTGTAGTGCTTGTTCGCGAGAATAAAGGTACACAATCTCCAATTTACTATACTAGCAAAACCCTGGTCGACGCCAAAACGAGGTACCCCCACCTCGAGAAATTAGCCTTAGCGTTGGTTATAGCTTTACGAAAGCTTAGAACCTATTTTTCAGTGCCACCCCATATCGGTGGTGACGACTTTCCCTCTGCGAAGAATCCTACATAAATCCAAATTGTCGGGAATACTGGGTAAGTGGGCCATAGAAGTAAACAAGCATGATGTAACATATCAATCACGAACAGCGATAAAATCATAGGTACTCGCCGACTTCGTCACCGATTTTAGTGCCAAAATAATGCCCGAGGTCGAGCAGGAAGCTTCTCACACCTTCCCTTGTCCACCCGACCTCTGGGACCTTTACACTGACGCCGCATCCAACGCGTCGTGATCTGGACTGGGACTCGTACTCGATGTCCCAACAGGGGAAGTTATACGCTAGTCCATATAGTGCCCCATATTACTAACAATGAGGCCGAGTATGAGGCCGTGATTGCCGGGTTAAAGCTAGCTCTCAAATATGGAGCACGACGAGTCTTCCTCATATGCGACTCACAACTCGTCGTCAACCAAGTTACAGGGACTTTCCAAATCAAAGAGCAAAGGCTGCAAAAGTACCAGGCAGAAATTCACAAACTACTGCCAGAATTCGAGGAATGTCGACTCGACTAGATATCTCGAACTCAAATCATCGAGGCTGATGGCCTCGCCAAACTAGCAGCAACCACCAAAAATATCATGAAAGAAAACATGGTTACTATTCTCCACTCATCAATAGACCAACTCGAGGTACATTCCATAAATTTGACTTGGGACTGGCGCAATCGCATCGTGACATATTTGCATGAGGGAATACTCCCACAAGACAAAAAGGAAGCCAAAAATCTTCGAATGCAGGCGGGTAGGTACATCATCATAAATCACGATCTGTACAAGATAACGTTCGGGGCCCCCTTTTAAATGCCTGGGGCCGAGCCAAACAAGGCACGTGCTCG